TGGTTAAACGTCTGCCTTCAGCTCAGGGCATGATACCGGGGTCCTGGGATGGAGTGCCGAGCTGGAGGACTGCTTTGCTCTCTCTTGCTGTCAAATAAATAAAAATCCTAAGGAAAAAAAAATGTTAAATGTGTATTCACTTATGAATATTTTGATGTGGGACTAAGGCCTTGTTTTTGACTTTGGATTCAGTGTTGGAATATTTTGTCTCCCAGTACAAAGTACTCCCGTAAGTGCAGCTTCTGTAATTTGAAGTTTGTTTCTTTTTTTCTTTTTCAGTTTTTATTTAGGTAGTCTCTGCATCCAACGTGGGGCTGAACTCACAACCCCGAGATCAAGAGTTGTATTCTTTTCCACCTGAGCCAGACAGGCACCCCAAAGTTTTGTTTCTTTAAAGCAAAGCAAAACCTTAAAAACTGCTAGTAAAGCAATTTCAATACTCCTACATTTTTACCATTTTTACCATCCTTTTATGGTTGCTCACCCACACCTAATTTGACTACTGTGTGTGTGTGTGTGTGTGTGTTTTAAGATTTTTATTTATTTGACAGAGAGAAATCACAAGCAGGCAGAGAGGCAGGCAGAGAGAGGGAAGCAGGCTCCCCACTGAGCAGAGAGCCGGATGCGGGGCTTGATCCCAGGACCCTGAGACCATGACCTGAGCTGAAGGCGGAGGCATAACACACTGAGCCACTCAGGGGCCCCTTAAGTTTCATCAAATAGGTCTGAAGCATTCAATGTTGTTTTCAGAGATTCGGTAACTTACTTTTTGCATTGATCTGATTGGTTCATATGATTTTATTATGGAATCGAAACTGCAACTATGACAGCCAAATATGGGTTTGGAACAAACACAATGGATGCTTATTGGGGATGTACTTTAGCCTACGACAACAGACATGACCAGGTGTTCTGTGAGCACCATAGAGGAGCCTGCTAGCCACACCTGCTTGGTATTTCGTGGACCTCAAGTTAGTAAGTCCTGTTTGGAATGGAGACTGTCATTTAATCTAGCCATAGATCTAGGTTCGTATGATTTGGTTAAGTAGACATAGTTAGACACAGTTAAGAGAACATCTATTGTTTTGTGATGTTTACTATACACTGCATTAGCTTATGTAGCAATAAGCCAGAAAATTCTTGGTGAATGCAACTTTTGCTTTGGAACCCAGACTCTTATTCTTGGAAGAAAACAGGAGTGGTCACGTTATATCCTCCCTAGGCTGATATGCATGTGATGTGGTTCTGGACTGTTCACAGTGGTCACCCTTGGTCATTCCCTTTAAAAGTGTGATTGATTGATTTTTTAAAAAGATTTTATTTATTTATTTGTCAGAGAGAGCACAAGCAGGGGGAGCTGCAGCTAGAGGAAGAAGCAGGTTCCTTGCTGACCAAGGAGTCCAAAGCAGGACTTGATCCCAGGACCCTGAGATCATGACCTGAGCCAAAGGCAGATGCTTAATGGACTGAGCCACCCAGGCATCCCTAAAGTGTGATTCCTATAATGGTTTTCTCTGATCAGTGCAGCATATAGAAGTATGCTCATAGTTAGATGAACTTTTAGGTTATTCAGACCCCAAAGTTGGCTCATTGAAATTATTTCATTAAAGCCCTTATCTCTTCGGATGCCTGGCTGGCTCAGTTGGAAAAGCATGCTACTCTTTTTTTTTTTTTTAAAGATTTTATTTATTTACTTGACAGAGATCACAAGTAGGCAGAGAGGCAGGCAGAGAGCGGGGGAAGTAGGCTCCCCACCTAGCAGAGAGCCTGATATGGGGTTTGATCCCAGGACCCTGAGGCGATGACCTGAGCTGAAGGCAGATGCTTAACCCACTGAGCCACCCAGGTGCCCCAGATTAGGGCCTACTCTAATGATCCCATTTTAACTTAATTACTTCTTTAAAAGCCTGTCTCCAAGTACAGTAACATTCTTAGATACTGTGGATTAAGACTTTGACATACGGATTTTAGTGGAATATAGTTCAGCTCATAACACCAGTAATGCCTTCCCTCCGTTGTGACATTGTTCCTAGTTAACACTGGCAAGGTGAAGACATTTGTTTTATGTATTACCCATAGTTCTTAATTTTGTCCTTCTGTGTATGGTGAGAAATCATTCAATGCTTTGCTAAAATTTTAATCTTTAAAAAAAAAGAGATTGATTTATTTGAGAGAGAACTCTCATGTGCTTGCACGTGAGTGTGGGGGGAGGGGCAGACGGAGAGAGAGGAAAAACTCAAGCAGAGTCCATGCTGAGTTTAGAGCCCAATGCGGGGTTTGACCTCATGGTCCTGAGATCATGACCTCAGTCAAAACCAAGAGTCAGGTGCTTAACTGACTGTGCCACCCAGGCGCCCCTAACATTTTTATCTTTAGTTTTATAGTACCATACCCAATTATAAGTAGCTGTGGGTTGGAATTGATGGTGCAATTAGGAAGCATGAGGCCCAATCTTTGAGGCTTGGCTCTCACTCCTCCTCTGTATGTTCCAGGTGCCTGTTGTGGGGGGCTGTTCACTTTGTGTTTATTTGTATGTGAAGAGTTGGCACTCTAGGGGTGCCTGGCTGGCCAGTTGGTGGAGCACGTGACTCTTGATCTCAGGGTTGTGATTTCAACCCCCACGGTAGGTGTAGAGATTACTTAAAAATAAAATCTTAGGGACGCCTGGGTGGCTCAGTTGGTTAAGCAGCTGCCTTCGGCTCAGGTCATGATCCCAGCGTCCCGGGATCGAGTCCCACATCGGGCTCCTTGCTCGGCAGGGAGCCTGCTTCTCCCTCTGCCTGCCATTCTGTCTGCCTGTGCTTGCTCTCTCTCCCTCTCTCTCTGACAAATAAATGAATAAAATCTAAAAAAAAAAAAAAAATCTTAAAAAAAAAAAGCAAACAAACCGAAAAACAAAACAAAGAGTTGGCACTCTTAGTGGCATGTGGAACCACCCAAACAGTAGTTGACTTGGTATATTTTCCTAGGCCAGTAGTTTGGAAACTTCTAGAAACCTAGTTCCTTCCCTCTAAAGGATTTGATAGCTCTAAGTGTAGTCTAGGATTTTTTTTTCTTTTTCTTTTCCTGTTTCTTTAGACAAGTTTGCCAGGTGGTTCTGGGAGCTCTCTTACTACACGCTGAGAAACTCGTCTCTGAGAGCTCAGCGTAGATGCTGGCACAAGTACATGACTGAATCGTGTACTTGCTGACTGTACAGCATGGTGGTAACCTCGTGGGCTCAGGCATTGTGTAGGTACAATATTTGGGCACAGTAAAAGCCCAAGTGGAAAACAAGGGGATTTTTTACTGCAGTTTGGCATTACACAATGCCAGAATTTCAGTGGAATTTTCTTTTAGTGACATTGTTTCTGAACTGTTCGAGTTCTTTTTTTTTTCTTTCTTTTTTAAAATTTTACCTTCTTATATGGCTGCTGGTGGCAAATATAGGTCCTGTATCACTTCTTCTTTTTTGCCCAGTTGCATTTTCTCTTTCTCACTTCTTTTGTATCAGAAGAGTATTTCCTGGGTGTGAGCGTATTTTATAGTACTCAGACCGTCTTGGTAAAAACAAAAAGATAATAATAATAGTAAACATTCATTGAGTACTCATTGTACCGGGCATTGTTCTTTGTTCCTTATTTAGATGAATTCATGGAATCTGTTAAGACAGCCCTCAGTGGTAATTAATTATTTATTTATTTATTTAAGATTTTTATTTATTTATTTGACAGAGAGAGATCACAAGTAGGCAGAGAGGCAGGCAGAGAGAGAGGAAGAGAAGCAGGCTCCCCGCTGAGCAGAGAGCCCGACGCGGGGCTCGATCCTAGGACCCCGGGATCATGACCCGAGCCAAAGGCAGAGGCCCAACCCACTGAACCACCCAGGCGCCCCAAGACAGCCCTCAGTGGTAATTATTGACATTATCCCCATTTCATGAAGGAGAATATTTAGGCACAGAGAAGTTAAGTGATGTGCCCGATATCACACAGAAAATGGCAGAGCTAGGATTTGAGCCCAGCACTTTGGGCTCAGAGCCTCTGCCACAGCTTTTGTCAATTGTGTTACTTTTGTGTTAACTGTATTTTATAATATTGTTGCAATTTCAGTAAATAGGATTTCCATTTGCATTAAAAAGTCTTATCCTAATAGCTCCTAATAAAGTCTTCTCCTAGTTGTTGTGGGGGACCATCAAGTGGATTGCGGCTACGTAACAGCAATAGTTTGCTAACACATTCTTTTTTTTTTTTTTTAAGATTTTATTTATTTATTTGACAGACAGAGATCACAAGTAGGCACAGAGGCAGGCAGAGAGAGGGAGGGGAAGCAGGCTCCCTGCTGAGCAGAGAGCCTGATGCGGGGCTTGGTCCCACGATCCCAGGACTCTGGGACCATGACCTGAGCCGAAGGCAGAGGCTCTAACCCACTGAGCCACCCAGGCGCCCCTTGCTAACACATTCTTCATTAGGAGTGGTATTTTTGTTCCAGTTCACACATGCAGATGGCTCTTTCTTCAAACAAAAATTCCAAACCTTATAATTTCAAGCTTCATTTTCTATAGCTTTTAGTTAAATTCAGTCAGTTGCTGAACAGAAAAATGATAAGGATTTCAGTAGGTGAATTAGCACTGACTCTTCTTAGTCCTTGCTCTAGAACAGGGTTTCTCAATTTTGGTGCTATTGACACCAAATAATTCTTTCTTGTGGGGGACCGTCAAGTGGATTGTTGTGGGGGGCCATCAAGTGGATTGTGGCTACGTAACAGCAGGCCTGAATTCTACCCATGTCATTCTAGGAGCACTCTCTAGCCCTTCTCAGACTTGCTCAGGAGTGAGAACCACTCCTCCTCTCTGGTTACTTTATGGCATTTGTGTTGCTAGTTGCTGGAGCCTTGGTTTTAAATTGTGAATGACTCACCATTGATTTCCACTTTCACATCTAGTAAGACTAGCCAACCCGAAGTCATGTGCTTTTTGATCTTACCTAGGAGTTTTTTTTTCCTTTTCTTTTACATCTCTGTAGGAAGTTCGGGTTTGTGAATTTTAAATTTGCTCATGACCAGGGAAGAGCCTTGAGACTTAGTGAGACAAACGTCCTTGGGTATGAAATTAAATTAAGAAAACCGAAAAGAAAGGATGTAAGAAAGGTATGCAAACAAGTTTATTTGTTGATAGATACCTGTATATCTAGCCAACTTTGGGTCAAGAATGAGTCTCGGATTCTTACTCATGCAAGTAGTCTGTTACCATTGGGTCACTTCCTTGCACAGCGCAAACTTTGCATACATTACTCTCGCCCTCTGTGCTCGAGCTGCATGGCTCACCTCCCCTGTCATAATGTTCTTTGTCTCCAGGACTCATTCCCTGGCTACCTGCAGCCCATCCATAGAATCTCAGTTTAAGGGTCACTTCCTCAGGATCAGAAAAATTTTCCCTTACTTCCAGACTAGGTTAAGTCATTTTGGGGTGGGGGAAGGGTGCTTGGGGGAACTTTTTTTTTTTGAGAGAGAGAGAGAGAGAGAGTGTGTGTGAGCATGGAGGGGCAGAGGGAGAAGGAGAGAAAGAATCTTTAAACAGGTTCCACACTGAGCGTGGAGCCCAACATGGGGCTCAGTCCCACAACTCTGAGATCAGGACCTGAGCTGAAATAAAGAGTTGGATGCTTAATCGACTGAGCCACCCAGGTGCCCCTCTTCTTCTTTTTTTTAACTTTATTTATTTATTTTAAGTAATCTCTCCACCCACCATGGGGCTCAAACTCACTACCCGGAGATCAAGAGTCTCATGTTCATCTATCTGAGCCAGCCAGGTGCCCCTAGCTTAAGTCTTTACTGGGTGTTCTCCTTTCCCTTTTTACTTTTCCTTCTTGGCACTCACCAGAGTTTGTAATTATATGACTATTTGCTTAATAGCCTTTCCCCCCAACAAGACCACTTTCCTGACAGTTGAGGCCAAGTCTGTATTTTCGTAGAGCATGTAGCACGGGCCCTCACCCAGATATATGTTGAAAGATTTGTTAAATGAAGGAATATGTATTGCTTTTGACACCTTCAATTCCTGGAGAAGTATTTTTTCTCCTTTAGAGAACTTTAGATACTTCATTAGATCTGAACTTGGACTAAAAATACTCTTTTGTGTTATGTAGATCAGAATGTCAAAACACTTTTCGAGAACCTGCCTGACAAAGTCATTCAACATGAGTTAAAAGAAGTGTTTAAGGATGCCTTTCAAGTCAGATTGGTGAGCAAGGATGGGACGAGTAAAAGTGTATTTTGTACCTATATTGAAAAAGAATATATTTCTACTGGATTCAGACATAACAGAATTTCATTACATTCTCCTTAACTGCTTAAGGAAAGAAAAAAGAAGAGAAAAGAAAAGAAAAGAAAAGAAAAAAAAGAACCAACAACCCAGGAAAAATAGTGGCAAATTATAAACAGGTAGGTCACAGAAAAGGAATTTTCTTTTGAACTTAAGATACTTATCCTCACTCATACTAAAAGAATTATAAATTAAAATGCAATTTTAATTAATTTATTTAGATGTAACATTTTACCTATTAGATACTAACAATCAAAAAGTTATTCCACGGGGCGCCTGGGTGGCTCAGTTGGTTGAGCAACTGCCTTCGGCTCAGGTCATGATCCTGGAGTCCTGGGATCGAGTCCCACATCGGACTCCCTGCTCGGCGGGGAGTCTGCTTCTCCCGCTGATCTCTCTCTCCTCTCATGCTCTCTCTCTCTCTCTCTCTCAAATAAATAAATTAAAAAAAAAAAAGTTATTCCACAGTATCGAAGAGGGTTGGAGAAACTGGCATGCTTGGACATTGTTGGTGGAAGGGAAATTGCTGAAGTCTCTGTGGAGATGAGTTAGTATCTATCAGTTGTGTTGCTTGTACCATTTTATGGGGCAGTACGAATCCTAAGAATTTATCCCACAGATAGACAAGTGTGACATAATATATTACAGAGTTGGCTGATGCAAAATTAGAATTAGCCTGAATATCTATCAATAGAAAACTGGCTAAAATTTTCTGGTAGGTCCAAAAGACATTATACCATGCAGTTGTAAAAAGAAGTGAGACATTACTTTGTGTGCTGATGGGAAAGAAACTCCAATATAAAGGCAAAATATAGAACAGTGTGTATATGATATTCTCTTTTTTTATGTAAAAACATAACGGAGGACAAACCTACACAAAAATGAACTCAAAATAGATCAAAGACCTAAATGTAAGAGCTGAAACAAAACTATGGTGAAAACACAGGAGTAAATCCTTGTGATCTTAGGTTAGGGTATCATGCAGGCAATAAAAGATTGATAAGTTGGGCTTTATCAAAATTAAAAACATTTGTACTTCAAAGGACACTACACAAAAATCAAAACAACTCTGCAGACTGGGAAAAAATATGGCAAATTGTGTATCCGATGAGAGCCTTGGATTCGGAATATGTGAAGAACTCTCACAACTCAGTCATAAGACTACCCAATTGAAAAATGGGCAAAAAGCTTGAATGGGTATTGCTCCAAACAAAGTATATGAATGGCCAATAAGAACATGAAAAGATGCTCCAGGAGTTGGTAAGGAAATGCAAGTCAAAACCATGATGTGATTCCCACTTCCCACCCATCAGAGTGGCTGATGATGAGAGAGGCAGACAATAGCATGTGTTGGCAAGGTGAAGGGGACATTGGAACCCACATTCGTTGCCAGTGGGAATGTAAAACAAAATAGTGCAGTTGCTGGGGAAAACGGTTTAGCAGTTTCTCAAAATGTTAAACAGAGAGTCGCCATATGGTGCGGCAATTCTACTACTCGGTGTGAACGTAATGAAAACCTATAGCCACTCGCTTCTACACATGTTCAGATCACCTTCATTCGTAATAGCCGAAAAGTGGAAACAACTCCAAATGTCCACCAGCTGATGGATGGATAAATAAAATGTGTCATTTCCACACAAGGTGACATTATCCTGCCATAAAAAGGAATGATGGACTGACACATGCTACATCTTGGATGAGTCTGGAAAACATCAGGCCAAGTGAAAGAAGGCAGGCACAAAGGATTGCATATTCGTGTGATCCCATTTATCCGAAATGTCCAGAATGGGCAAGTAGCATGGTAGTTGGGCCGGGCCCTGGGAATGAGTTGGAGGGAATGAGGAGGGACTGCTGATGGATACTTTGGGAGAGGATAAAAATATTCTAAAATTAGATCATGGTGATGATTATAGAATGCTGTAAACATACTAGAAATCATTATATACTTTGTTATTATTTTGTTTAAAGATTTCATTTTTAAGTAATCGCTACACCCAGTGTGGGACTTGAATTCGCAACCCTGAGATCAAGAGTTACATGCTGGGGTGCCTGGGTGGCTCAGTGGGTTAAAGCCTCTGCCTTCAGCTCGGGTCATGATCCCAGGGTCCTGGGATGGAGCACCGCATCGGGCTCTCTGCTCAGCAGGGAGCCTGCTCCCCCGCCCCTGCCTGCCTCTCTGCCTACTTGTGATCTCTGTCTGTCAAAAAAATAAATAAAATCTTAAAAAAAAAAAAAAAGAGTTACATGCTCCACCGACTGAGCCAGCCAGGCATCCCTTACTGTACACGTTAACCAGATGCATTTTATGATATGTAAAGTACATCTCAGGCAAGCTTTGAAAGGTAGAGTGTGTATGTGTGTACATTTATATGTATGGCGTGTTGCCTGTAAGGATAGAAATTGGGCAGAAGGCACGCACACTTTACCGTATTCTTTTCTCTCTTTTGCAGTTTGAATCCTGCATGTGTGTCACTAATTCAGAAGATGAAAGGACTAAATGTTGACTCTTCGTTCTTCTCTCCCCCACACCATCTCCACAACTGCAGGATTGCATATGTTGATTTCAAGTCACAGGCTGATGCAGAAAGAGCCTTGGACTAGAAACAAGGAGCAGAGGTCAGTGGGCTTGCCATAGTTCTGGGCCACGCTGGAGAGAAAAGCCAAGGCCAAGAAGGGAGGGGGGAGACGCACAGCACATAGAGAAGTAAGGGATGTTAACGTGCTGTAGACTGAGGCTTGCCAGGGTTGTCAGCAGAGTCCCCCAGAGAGGGGCTTACAGGGGGAGAGGGACACTTCCATACAATGTCTCCCTGTATCAAAAATGTGTAAGTCATCCTCCTATCAAGCAAATGAGTAGTGTCCTAGTTAACTGTAACCACAAAATCTGCAAAAACATGGCACTTTGAGGTCCATCAGCTCCCCAAGAAGGGGATTCTGTTTGGACAGGTTCTTAAACCTGTGGTTTCAGAATTCGAGATTTAATTCTCTTCAAGTAGAGTTTTTGTCTGCTTTAAACCAGAGATCCCAAACCAGTGTCCCTAAGCTGCCTAATTTGATGGGTAGATGTGGTATATATAATATTTTCAGGAAAAAGAATTTATTATGTATCATGAAATTTCACATTGGTAGTATCCCTCATCTGCCTAATCTGATGGGTAGATGTTGTAGCTTATCTAGTATTTACAGGAAAAAAACCCAATCTATTACTAATATTTTTAAGAATCAAGGACTTTCAGGTAGAATTCTGGATTTCCAGCTTCTTTTGCTGGGGCCTCAAAATTGATGGCCTGGGGCTGCGTTCCTGCGTGTCTGCAGTCACCTGCACAAGGACAATCAGAGATTTCTTCTTAGTCATGCCCTACAGTCCCCAAGCCCCCACAATTTACTCAGTTCTCCCCTACTTCGAAGGAGTGAACTGCACACTTCCACTTTGCAAAAATAGAGTCTCTACGTTTCTCTTGCAAAGTAGTACTTTTCTATCTGTAAAGGTGACATTTTAATATTTCTTATGTGTTTGTGTGTTCCAAAAGTGGGAAAACAAAAGCTAAAACAAGAAAGCCATGTGTTTCAAGAAAAATAGGAACAAGCTTATTTCTTTGTGGAGGTTAAGAATGTTCCTACGTGTTTAATATGCAAAGTGTGCCGGTGTCGATGGAATTGAACCTCAGACGCCATTATGAAACAATCCACAGAAGGAACCATGATGGATATACTCAAAAGATGTGTGATAGGGGCGCCTGGGTGGCTTAGTGGGTTAAAGCCTCTGCCTTCGGCTCAGGTCATGATCCCAGGATCCTGGGATCGAGCCCCGTATCGGGCTCTCTGCTCAGCGGGGAGCCTGCTTTCTCCTCTCTCTCTGCCTGCCTCTCTGCCTACTTGTGATCTTTGTCTGTCAAATAAATAAATAAAATCTTTAAAAAAAAAGATGCGTGATAAAAAACTTAAACGAACTGAAAAAGAGACTGAAATTTCAACACGACTTACTTTTGAGAGTTAATAAAATAAATGCCCCCGCTAGGAAATGCAGTTATGTGTTAAGTAAGAAAATTGCCTGGGCATCGAAACCTTTTACAGATGGTCTAAGTTGTTTTTTTTTTTTAAGATTTTTTTTTTTTTAATTTATTTGACAGAGATCGCAAGTTGGCAGAGGGGGGTGGGGCGGGAAGTAGGCTCCCCGCTGAGCAGAGAGCCTGATGCAGGGCTTGATCCTAGGACCCTGAGATCATGACCTGAGTCAAAGGCAGAGGCTTAACCCACGAGCCACCCAGGCACCCCCAGATGGTAAGTTTATAAAGGAATGTCTGTTGAGTGCAGCGGAACAGAGACAAGCATTTGCCAGTCTAAGACTAAGTGGTAATACTGTTAAGCATCATGTTGACAGGCTCATGAAAGGGTCAATGGAGATAATGCCCTCCGAGTTGGCTATATTTATTTGTGCTGTTGATGACGCTTTCGATGGGATGGAAGAACTTTTGGACGTGGTTCCCATGTCAGGAAATGACTGACTTGTCTATATTTATTTGTGCTGTTGATGACGCTTTCGATGGGATGGAAGAACTTTTGGACGTGGTTCCCATGTCAGGAAATGACTGACTTGTCTATATTGGAGGAAAGTCTTAAAAAATTTAATGTAGCCTGGTCACAGTTAGTAAGCATTAGCACAGATGGCAATTTGGTACTGGTCGGTGTTGAGCAACTTGTTACGAAACTTAAAGCTAAAGTGTCCAGGCTTTGCAAAGACACAGAACTGAAGTCCATGCATGGCCTCATTCTCTAGCAGTTGCTTTGTGCTAAAAAGTTAAAAATGGATCATGTCATGGACATAGTGATTCACACCATAACCTAGATCCGTTCCCATGGCTCAGACCACGGAAAGTTCAGCGCTTTGTTCAATGACTTAGATGCACAGTATGGAAGCCTGTCGTTCTCCGTGGGACATAAGTGGCTGAGTCATGGCATGGTGCTCAGGTGGTTTTTCGAACTGTTGGAAGAAATTGATTTTTTCATGTCTTCTGGAGACTTGGTTCCTCAGCTCACCAGCAAAGATTGGGTCAAAGACTTAGTCTTTTTGGTTGACATTATGACTTACCTAAACATGTTGGAGATTTCCTGCAAAGGCACTCACAAGTAGTTACACAGATATACGATTCAGTTCGCTCCTTCCTGATGAAACTGTGTCTTTGGGAAGCTCATCTGGCAAGGAAGAAGCTGGCCCACTTCCCTACACTGAAATTAGTTTCTGAAAATGAAAGAGATGGCCTGAACTGTATTTCCCAAATTAGGGAGTTGAGACTGGATTCCAGGAATGGTTCTCTGATTTCAAACTTTACGAAAACCAACTGACGTCGTACAGCTCACCTTTCTCGATTAACATTAATACCATGAAAGAAGAGCTGCAAATGGAAGTTCTTTTTTGTTAAAGATTTTATTTATTTATTTGACACAGAGAGATACAGTGAGAAAGGAAACACAAGCAGGGGGAGTGGGAGAGGGAGAAGCAGGCTCCCCGCAGGGAGCCTGAGGTGGGGCTTGATGTGGAGCTTGATTCGGAGCTCGATCTCAGGACCCAGAGATCATGACCCAAGCCGAAGGCCGACACTTAACTACTGAGCCACCCAGGCGCCCCCAATGGAAATTCTTGAATTGCAGGGCAACACACAACTGAGGACGAAATACGATGGTGTTGGGATCCCAGAATTCTACAAGTATCTTGGGAACGGTTACCCTAAATATAAAAACCACTAAGCAAAGATTCTGTCCATGTTCAGAAGTACCTATGTTTGTGAGCAGCTCTTTTCTGTCATGAAACAGCATAAAACTAAATATTGCTCCTGGTTAAAGGACTCGGAGGTGAATTCCCTGCTACACATCACCGTGCAAGATTCCCAGCCTGTCCTTGCTTCACACCTTGGGGCTTAAGAAGGGACTATCAGGTGTCAGATTTCAAATCTAAGGACAAAAAAATTAGGAAACTTTAAATATTATTTCTACTTCCAAATTATATTTGTTCAGCGTCAAATTTAAGGTACAATCTCTGGGATCCTGTTTGTTTGTTTGTTTTTAAAGATTTTATTTGAGAGAGAGAGAGTGAGAGCATGAGAGGGGGAAGGTCAGAGGGAGAAGTAGACTCCCCACAGAGCTGGGAGCCGGATGTGGGACCCGATCTGGGACTCCGGGATCATGACCTGAGCCGAAGGCAGTGGCTTAACCAAATGAGCCACTTAGGTGCCCCTGGGATTCTGTGTTTGTATTTGTCAAATACGAAATAAAGTTTGATAATACCTTGGCAGTTTCTTTTTCCTATATTTGGCCTTTCTAGCCCTTAGAGCCTTTCAAGTAGATAAACCTCTGCCCTAAAAGCAGCCACACCTTTCCTAAAAGCACTCATGAGCCAGGGATGTAAATCAGGGAGGCAGCCGGATGGATGGGATGTTGAGATGCCTCTCACAGCTCTGTCCCCAAGGATGACAGACCTGTCACTCTGATCTTAGGACTCAGGCCAGGATACCCCCCCCCACCCCAGACAGCATGGGGTCAACATAGCCAGTGCTCACCCCTGGGCTTCTTTTTTGGTGTTTCCATTTTGGATTTACACATTTTGAAATTTCCACATTGGTGGTCAGCATTAGGACAAGTGTGGCTGGCCCCAAAGCCATTCTGCCTCCTGTAGGTGGGGATGGGTCACCCTGAGGGGATGCAGAAGGAGGCCCATAGCTACCATCAGAGTCTTAAAAGAGCGCCATGATCTGAAAGGTGTTTTTCCACTGTGAAACTGGGACATGACTCTCACTGTCACAGAAACTGTAGCTCAAAAAATCAGTCCAGTTATAAAAGTGATATATACTTATTGTAGCACATTTGGAAACTATATAGAAATAGGAAAATCTATAATCTCAACAACCAGAGGTTACCCCTATAAATATTTAGGTATATTTGTTTCTTTCAATTTCTTACGAATTATTTTATATGGTCAAATGCATTAAGTCTGAATCATTTTGCAATCTGCTGCCCTCCTCCCTCCTCCCCCACTTAACAGTGGAATCCTGGGGTGCTTGGCTGGCACTGTCGAGTCGAGCAAGAAACTCTTCATCTCGGGGTTGTAAGTTTGAGCCCCACGTTGGGTATAGAGATTACTTAAAAATAAAAAAATAAAATCTTAAAAACAAAACCAGGGAAATCCTAAATACCTGTCTGTCTTCCAAGCTCAAGGTGAGTTTATTTGATTGCATCAGGTGTGTACTGATGGGCCTTTGCCCACCAGCATGAGTTCTCTTGGCATCATATAAGCCATAGGCTTGATGTCCGGGTGTGGGATCTTTTTTCTGTTCTGCCAGGTTCTGACAAGGCCAGAGAAAAACCCTGCTGTCCAGGGAAGGAGAGGAAGGGTGCATTGATGACACTCAGGACAGCCTTTTTGGACAGAGGTTCTGAGACCATTAATGAGTGTGAAGAAACACCACTTTTTAGATCTGACCTTAATCTTTGCAGCGTTTGATGCCGCTGCTCCCCCTTCCCTCCCCTTGAAATCTCATTCCTATTTTCTCCTTCCTCTCTGAATTCTTCTTCTCAGGCCCTCTCCTTCCTCTGTCCCTTAAATGTTGATTTTCTTCCAATGAATTTTTCTCCCTACTGCTTACCAGTGATTTTTAATCTTTTTGAGTGGAAGGGGACAGGGAAGGTCAGTCAGGGCTCTCTTAAAGCAGCAGCTAAAATATACCAACCCTCTTCCAAGGGTTGACACATGTGTACCAAGCTAAACACATGTGTACCTACACCTGTGTTTTTATTACACTTTCAGAAGTCCCCAGACCCTAGAAGCCCACCTTGGGAACATCTAGTCCCATGGCTTAATTATGTGCAAGTCTTCCATCATGGAATCTCCAGCCCTGCATTTCCTTCTTCTTCTTTTTATTTTTTAAATTTCTTTTGTTATTTATTTATTTAGAAAGATTTTATTTATTTGACAGAGAGAGAGATCACAAGTAGGCAGAGAGGCAGGCAGAGAGAGAGGGGGAAGCAGGCTCCCCTCTGAGCAGAGAGCCGGATGTGGGGCTTGATCCCAGGACCCTGGGATCATGACCGGAGCCGAAGGCAGAGGCTTTAGCCCGCTGAGCCACTCAGGCACCCCCTTCTTTTTTTTTTTTTTTTTTAAGTTTATTTATTTGAGAGAGAGAGATAGAGAGTGAGCAGGCAGGAGGGGCAGAGGGAGGAGAGAGAATCTCAAGCAGACTCCATGCTGAGTGCAGAACCTGACACGGGGCTCAATCTCACAACCCCAAGATCATGACCTGAGCTGAAACCAAGAATCAGCTGCTCAACCAACTGAGCCACCCAGGTGCCCTGGCTCTTCCTTCTAAATGCCAACCTGGAAGCTGCTAGACCTCTCCACTGGGATGTCCCATAGGCCTTTCTCAATGTATGGTGTTGATGATTGAATTCATCATTTCTCTCCCCAACTCCTAAATCAATTCACCCCTGGTTTTCTTTACTTTAGTGAATGATAGAATTGTCCACCCAGTTCCGGCTCAAGCAGAACCCTGATGGTCGTCTTGGACTCCTTCTTCTTACTCATTTCCCATTTCTATTTAGTTGAAAAATCTTGTTGATTATACTACTTAACTAAGGTTTCAAATCTTCCCACTACTCTACAATCCCATTTGTAGTGAACACTCCTCTAACTGGGACTATCATCACCTCTTGCTTGAACTTCTACAAAAACCCC